AATGTTTTATATGATGATTCGTCATTCGTCATTACCATTGTCGCAACTTGTTATCGGTCGCCATGTAATGTAAACGAACCTTAATTTACTCGCAAACGCATGCGGAAACATCCTCTCGTTGTGAAGTCCGTAGATGCAGGAGGCATGGCACGGGAATAAACGAGAGGGTGGTGTCATCATCCTCGGTGTGTACAAGACTCGGTAGCGGCCCCGACAGAATCCTCCCCCTAACTTCCACCTCCGACAACGTAATTGAATCACGCTACGGACCGCCGAGGCGTAAAACGTGGATTAAATACGATGCACACGTAGTATCCGAATCCCCGTTCCCCGGGGGAGGAGGGGTTGCGCCGGCTTGCAACGAGAGGATGTCGCTGCTGAATGTTGTGTCTGATATACATTGGAAACTCCGAAATATACATCGGTATTTCGATGGATATCTGAATGATTGGTTCGTAGCCGCTAATTTGCACACCCTTGCGACCCTTTTGAGGATTAATCCGTGTCCGGGATTTGTCGATCGAACTAGTCAGATCGGTTGCCTTCGCACGGATCTCGGTTGAGTTCGTTGCGAAATTTGCAGCGGACAAACGAGAACGCGGGCACGGCCGAGGGATCAGATTTAGATTTTCGCATCCGAAATCTATTTATAACGTAAACGGATCCGTTTTTAGGCCTCGGTGTTCCCCGATTGCACGCGACTGTTCTTGTCTTTCAGAGAGACGCTGTTCGCGATTACGTGACACCGTGTGCGATCGCGCGACGCGTTTTCGGCTTGACAGACTGAAACGGTGCAATTTTTCTCGAGAGATATCGGGGACTTATCGTCGATTGTCGCCGTTCAGTTTCGCGATACGTGTCTCATCTCTGTTTCCTCTTTGCTTTTCGGACGCTTCAATTTTGTTAAACCACATCGTATCCTGGCGAAAGCGAAGGATAACGGTGATTGCAGAAAGGAAGCCGATAAGAAATTATGGACGCGAGAGATAGAGAGCACGACGGCGAGGGCAAGGAAATCTTGATAAAAGGATAGAATCCAAGTTCAGTTGTGCAAATCGAATCGCTCTTTTACTACATTTCAGCTTCAATGTTTCTCTTTGTGACACTCGACGTGACACACTCAGGAGTTTTATTTTTATTTTTCCGATTTGCTTCAAGTGCTCTTTGCTTAGATACATTTATTTCAATTGATTTTTAAAATTATAATTGTATAATTCTGAAATAGCTAAAATACGATATATAACAGAAAGTTACGATTTAATTCTTGAATTTTTAAATTTATTCAGCAATTAATAATAATACATATAATTTTTTTACATGTTTATACATTTCGTTTTATAAATTTTATAACATTAAACATTACGGGTATTCACTACGCGCGCGCTATTTATTTTCTTTTTTTATTTTTATTTATTTTTCTTTTTCGCTTTTATTTATTTTCGCGATATTTATTTCCGTTTTACTGCCATACTTTTGTCATAATTTTATCATCATAGTTTTGAGAAGGATATAACATAGTTTTAAAAAGATTTATTGATTGACTATTATCTCGATTATTATAACCGTGGCATCAGGATGTCTTCACCTGAGGAGGTTTGCAAAATTTATGAATGTCAGTACTATTTTTGGAAAACTTCAAGGGTGAAAGAAAAGCCATCAATCTCTCGGAGACCCAGTTTCGCCCCTGCGGTACGGGTCGCCGGAGCGACTCGAGGACGAGAATCTCTCCGTCCGATGCCGTTTATGAGCGAACTGTTTTCAAACTGTTTTGTAAGAAAGATAAATAGGCGCTTTTGATAAAACTCGCCTGACACACCCGGGCCCGAAGCATTGAATTTCATTATCGTACGAATCCTGATTTATCGCCCGCGCCCGTCTTACTCCCACACGACTCGTCCTTTCGCGCCCCTCGCGCGGCAGCCCCCTCGACGACCCATTTCGCGAAATGCGACAACAAATCGCGGCTGATTTGCGTATCCGAATATCTCGAAGAATCCACGCGATCGGCGGTCGGAAGCGTCGATTCCATTCCCAGCGATAAAGATCATCGTTTTCGAGAAATGGTGTTGCATTTTTCAGGCTGCGGTCACCGGGCTTTTCGGATTTCCGTCGCACTTTTTTTTGTTTCCAAAATTTCAAACCGCGGCCGACCGTCAGATGCAATCGCCAAGAGAGTCGGGGTGCATTCACGCGCGTTGAATAATCAAACGAAAAAATTGGCTCGCCGTAAATGTCCATAGGACATATACTCATCGCCATCCTCCCAGCGTGAAACTTCCCCTCTTCCCCGCGACCCTCTCTCCCCCCATTCTCCGCATCTTCCGACGTTCTCTCATGGCCTGTCATAAAACTTTCATAACTTTCGGTATTTCCACGAGCGGCCTTTTGCCAGTCCGCTCATGCGAGTCGTTGGATACGGTCCCTCTTCCCGTCGTTTCCCTTAAGTAAGGGATGGGAGGATGAACGAGACGTGTCAGGGATAAAAATATCTCGCGAGGTTAACTCCCGAGGCACACCGGCTTCGACCTAATCGTAATTTGAATGCTTCTTACGCTCATCCGTCGCGTATTCATCGAAATTGATTTTTAACTAGCGTCGTCCGAAAATAAAAATTTTCGAAAGTGTCTGAATATTCAATCTTGCTAGAAATATAATCTGCAAACGGTTTAATTATAAGTTTGATAAATAACTATTATTCTGTATATATATATATGCGAAATATCATTTTTATTAAAATTGAGTGTAAATGTGATACTGCCTATTTACCATTTCCATTATCATCTTTTGCCAATATTTATTTCTGCCGCGAAGGAGGGGGAAGAGAGAGAGAGAGAGAGAGAGAGAGAGAGAGAGAGAGAGAGAGAGAGAG